GCGCTTAAGCAGGAGGGGATGTCACTGCCTGAACTGAGACAGAGGTTCGACTACTTGTCCCAGTACGCGACGAGTCTGGTCTCCACTCCGGAGGATCGTTTGAATGAGTTCGTCAAGAAGCTACGGCCGGACTTGAGGCCGTACGCCGCACTGATCACGACGACAGATTTTAATGCGGCGTACGATTTGATTGTGAAGATGGAAAAGAGCTTGGACGATTTGCAGGCAACCAAGAAGGAGGATCGAGCGACGAAAGACCCGCGACCCGCGGCAAGCACCGGGCCGAGCGGGAAGAGTTTTGGATTCGGGGGAAAGAGGTACGAGAAGGGTTCTTCGAGTGCGCCGCCGCCTAAGAGGAGTAAGTCGAGGCCGTCTCCGTCGGCCGCCGCTAGCAACTCGAACAGAACGAGGAGCCACCCGCAATGTGTACATTGTGGTAGGCATCACCCGGGCGAGTGTTGCCTCGCCCAAGGCTTATGTTTGGGTTGTGGCTAGCCAGGGCATTTCAGGAGGCATTGCCCGACAAACCCTAGCAGCGAGCCTGTTTTACCTAGAGCTCCGGATCAGCCTGCCGCATCACATCCAGCACGGAGTCAGCAGTCTACGGCCGCAAATAATCAGCAGAGACCACGTCCGCAAATAACCCAGTGAACATGATGGAAATGTGGCCCAAAGATGAAGATGGACCTCCGGTCATCCCACCAGCAGAGCCACCTAAGAAGAAGGGGAAAAAACAAAGGGCAAGAAGGAAACAACCAGAAGAAGTTGAGGGAGGAAATGACAGGGAAAATGTGCAGGCTGGATTACAATCTCAAGCGCCTACATCTGGAGCAGGTGACACTGTGAAGTTAAGCAGGAAGGGAACTGTCAAAATGAAGTGCACTGTATGTGGGCAAATTGGGCATAACAAAAGGTCACATGCGCAGAAAGATACAATAGCTTCAACACAGCAGGTAACTGTTCTTGCTTTGTCTGGAGTAAATATCCACACTGGTACCTAAACTTTGTTTTTCTGGTTGTACAAGAGAAGGGGCAGACGCAAAGTTCAAGAAAAACTGGGAAGAAAAAGAGGAAAGCACCTACCCCAAATGGACCAAGGAAGAGAAACTCAGCTGCCACTTCTGTTGGCAATGAAGATTTAGGAAGCTAGTTTTGTTAACTGTGCCTTTTTCTTGTTTGTGAATCATGAAGTATGTAATGGGCGTTGACCATTTTTTTGTACATTAATGGCATTCTGAAGTAAACTCATGGCTGGTGTTGTGAATTTTGGGTTTGTTCTTTAGCACAACTCAGCAGAAATGCCATTAGGTTTTTTGTGGATACTCTTGCCTTAATATATAAGGCTTTTGTATATATAAAAATGCAGGTTCAATGCCTTATTTCTTTGGTAAATTTTTTGCACACTTCAGTAATTCATAAGAATATAATTGCAGCTTCAATGCATTTACAAAAAAAGGATTGACAGTTGACTTGGATCAACAACACTGCAAATATGTCATTAAAGTACAAGATAGTAGTACATAAATACTCCAGCACATAAGTTACACAAGTACA